GTCAATGTCCATAGAAACAGCCAACTCATCCATCAACCTCTCTACAGGAGGTTTTCCTTCACTAGAACTAGGAAATATATACTGTGATTTTTTTCATGCTGTTGATAAGCAAGCAGGATTATGAAATCATTACATATAAACAGAATTCTGACATTCATTCGCCAGTAAGCCAGCCTATGTTAGAAATCAGAACACACAGCAAAACAAGTTTGATTATAATTATATAAAAACATAAAGCTGGAAAAACATTCAGATTCACAGTTAGTTAACCATTAGATTAATAAGGTTTGTGCATTAACATAATTCATAATAGTATTGATAAGGCTTGCATGCCAGTACTGTTTATAGTGGGTATCATTACTGTATTGTTCTTTTTTTGCTCTTGTGAACTGATGTTATCAATTTTATAGCTTGAGAGAACAAATGTACTTAATAAACCTGACATAATAAGTTCAACTTAATATTATTGTGGGTGAGCGACGTGGTGAGTGTGTGTATGCCCTATATGGTATCCTCGGGGCGGACATCCGGGTATTTTCACCGCCTGACAACCATCGCGGTGAAAACAAAGGCCAAAAACTCTCAGAAAACGGTACTTTGGGATGGTTGTTGAGACTCCCCTGAACAGTGTAACAAGATTATCCCTGCGTGTGTAACATATATAAATTTGGTTGTTCAGGATTACTTCAAAGTTGACTTTGTGTTGTTTTCTCGAATTTTCACCGGCTCGAGCATGGTACAGTGGTGCGCGTCTTAGCAACGTGGAACGTCTTGTGACGTAGCTCCGCCCCGAGGATATGGTGTAATAGTGCTTGCTGCTCAGGTATTCCCCATAGAGCGATACAGAGCTAGTTTTATCAGTGTGAACAGCGCCGCCATCGCTGGTATATGTCACTTGCCAATCCTGATAGTGCAGCAACAGAAGAAGACTCATAGTGGAGAAGTTGACTCAACCCAGCCTTACCCACAGCTCGAAATTGATTTTATTATAATTATTTTCTCATGGTAGAACTGTAAAATACTACTAATGTTAATGTTAACACTGTGATGGAAAGACTGACTGAATTTAAAGCGGGAGGGTCGTCGCCTGCGCACGCGCGGGATTTGAGTTCCAAGCGACGATAACAACACACGCCTTTTATGCAAAGGCTCATGGGTAGGCACTTGTTTGTAAACAATGACAGGCTATGGCCATCTGACGCATGCGCATGTGACGACTCCCCCGCTTTAGAGTATCCGCAAACATTATGTATACCTTAATTTATATATTTTTGCACAGAGAACAATACACAATATCGCCAGTCTTTTCTCCGATGTTTTGACTGCGGTATAATGTAAACACGCGAAGATAACCTTGCTTAAATTAGTATTGAGAAAGGTATTAACAATTTTATAAATTTTGAAGCAAAATATTCGTCGTAAATATAAGAGTCGTGTCACGTGATAATGCAATAATATTATATTATTTATATTTTTCATGTAACGTGTAGAAGACATGTAGTGACGTTAAAATAGGTGATTAGGTGCCGTGCGCGAGCGCCAGTTCGAGTCGTGCACGCAGTACTATGATTTGACGTAATATTTACCTTGCCGGCGTTTATTCGGTGTTATTTGCATACTTTACTTTCTATGTCTACAGCAACTATGAGTTTACAATTATATCTGTTGTATATTTACAAGTAAGTTGAACGTGCACTGATCTGACTCCTGACGACCACCACGGTTTAGGTGTTACATGAGTACATGATACAAATACATGATTTTGGAGAAACTTTAAGACTTCCACAAACTCACTTCAAACATAGCTATTTTCAGCCACAACTATTATTGGTGACTCTGTACTAACACTAATATAGATTGTGTGAGTGGAAAAGCATAACTGATTTTTTTTTACTCGTAGAAATGGGGAGAAAACGAGTAAGGGGTTATTTTTAGACGAATAAACAATGATATTGTTATTATATATTTACCGGTCACTGGTAGTCTAGTGGTTTTCACATCAGACTCATCAAATCCTACCTTAGGCTGAACATCAAAAGGGTTGACCCCCTACCCTGGGTGAGTGTGCCACAGACTCAATAGCAAGGCCTATAACGAATGCGACTTTGGGGGAACCTTGGTTAAATCCGCATGTGTTTGTGTTCGACCGAGCCTGGTTGACGCCAGGATAGCGCATTAAAATTGCCATTTGATAGAGAGATGGCCACACAGCACTGTCATGTAGTCCCAAACATGAATATGTCTTCTGTGACAAAAAAAAACTAAGTGACAACAGTGACATTCAATGTCCGGAACTGTAGCCTGGCACAAAAAAAGCTATAAAAAAACAACAATGATACACGTGAACGCGTGGTAGTAATATGTGATAGATACTGAGGTGGATGAGCAGAAGATATACCAGTCCATTACTTGAAATGGGGAGGGGGTCACGTGTGTTTATCAATACATTGGCTATACATGCACTAACATAAATAATGCTTCTTTCAATGCAATATGACGTCAGAGGTTTATAAACGCACATTAAATGCAATGTGCAATTAAAGTAACTATTATAAAGTCAACAGAAATTCAAGACGGAATGTAAACGTGATTCAAACATAAACACAAAGCTGAAAAAAAACATCTTTTAATTTTAAGTTTAAGAAGCTAGCTATATAATGAGCGTAATCGATTCCTCGTACCTCAGACTAAAAGCCCTACATCGCACTGATATATTAAAGCGCGGTGGTCGTCGCGCAGCGCGTGCTCGAATTTCATGTAAATAAACAATGTATTTTAC